CTTATTTAAACAAGTCAGGAATGCTTGGTTGGGAGAGAGGAGATGAAGAAGAAGGGGAAGGAACCTCTCTGCCATTAACATGAGCAGGGGCCACTACCAGCACTTTGTAAACCACCTGGCGAATTCATGAGCTACTAACTTTGAATTTTATGATGAGCTTTCCCCAGTGACATATCTACCAGTTAGAGTGGAATACACATCTGCTGCTGTTGTTGTGCAAGATCCTGGAAGTGCAGTCTTTTATCCATCACTTCCCCTTTTCCTTCTTTAAAGTGAGACAAATCTTTGTTTTCCAACTGCATTATACTGTATAAAATCTTTATTGGCTTGTTGCATCTCCTAATTTAAGCTATGTGTGGGTTTCACTAAGTGAAATACTCAAACCTCTTGTTGTTATAGCTGCACAATTTTATCTCAAGGAAATATTCTTGATGTCTTTTGCATCTTTTTATACACATTTCCACAAAATTACATTTCTACACTGAAAGTCCTGTGAGTTAGAAAAACTATCACCTGTCTGTCTGTAATGAGTGCGTCTAAATACAAAACCCTGCATTCCAGGCGTGGGCCAACCTTTCTGTTTTTAGGACCATCTCGCCAAAATTTCTTACAAATGACATGTTACAATCCTCATGGCTGTGGTGGAATTCTGTCCACTTCAAAGCTGCACAGGACTCGTTGGCCGCTCCGGCCAATAGGTGGAGAGGGGAGGACTCTGCATGCCTTGACCTCGCTGACCTTTCCAACCACCCCCATCCACCCAGTGTCAAGCTCCTCATCTCCCCACCACCCAGCTCACCCATCCATCAAAAATTTCTTTGAACATTAAACCATGGCTTGTGTTTCCTAAATGAACTCCCCTATCCATGACATCTTTGTTCATTTGGCTGTTTTTTGGAAGCCGGCTAAAGCGAATCAGATGAACAAAAGGCTTCATATCCACCGCAGACATGTAGAATACAAACTCAGAGAACAGAATTCAGCATTTCTGCAGCAGCTTCTCTATAAACTCTTGACTCAGCAGCTTTGGTCTGTCATTGAGGCAGCCATTTTCTCATGAAGGCTCATAAGACCTCTCCCCGGTGCCCCGGAGGAACCAATTATCTTATTGTAATGAGCCTTTTGTTTCAGTTAACTGCACGAGAAAGCACTGATTTCTTTCTTTTACTGTTATAATTCTGCTGCTATGTCACAGAAGACTCACCGTGGAAGTATGAACTTTATACTTTTATTGTGGTTGTGGTTTGTTTGTATTTTGGCTGTAAAGACTGTGTGATGGTGGAAATTCTGAGACCTCCATACTTAAGGTAAATACATAATGAGCACGGTGTGTTTGGGTACAGAAACTTCATCAGGCCTTTGATAATTCTCTGGGGGTTTTAAAATTTTTGTACTGTGTCGCCATCTGCTGGAGAAGGTTGAATACACATTAGAGCTAGACTCTATAGACTCCATCATAACAGAAACAGGGCTGGTAAGAAGGGGCTGATGATGTTTGGCTGGCTACTACAATACACTGCAGCCTCTTTCCAATGCATACATTTCATTAGAACACTCAGCTGTGAACAGCAAAAATTGCTCACACAGGCAGTGGTTGTTTTGCAGTCATGGCCAATAAAATCGGCACCCCTGCATTTCTGTCAGATAGCACACCACATTGTTCCAATCACAAATTCTTTGGTATTCTCATGTTTATTTCTATTGTTTGCATTGGAACAACACAAAAAAGGTGAAGGGACAAAAGGCCAAATGTGATACACTCCACACAGAACTCCAAAAATGGACGGGACAGAATTACTTTCCAGACACTTTCCACTTAATATTTGGTAGCACACCTTTTGGACAAATAGCTGAAATCAGTTCCTTCCTGTAGCCACCAGTGAGTTTCTTACACCTCTTTACAGGAATTCTGGACCACTCTTCTTTTGCCAGCTGCTCGAGGTCTCAGATTTGAAGGGTTCCTTCTCCCAGCAGCTGTTTTGAGATCTCTCCACAGGTGCTCTGTGATCTGAACTCATTGCTGGCCACTTCAGAACTCTCCAGCACATTGTCTGAAACTATTTCTGGTGCTTCTTGAAGTCTGCTTTGGGTCATTGTCCTGTTGTAAGACCCATGACCTCTGACAGAGACCCACCTTTCTGATACTGCTCCCTACATTGTGCCCCAGAATTCACTGGCAGTCACAGTGAAGACATCCAGTGCCTGAAACCGCAAAGTGACCCCAAAACAATCAAACAGCTTACACCGTGTTTGACTGAAGGGGCCCTCTTCTTTTCTTTGAAGGCCTCATTTCATTTTCTGAAAACAGTAGAATGATGTGCTCAACCAAAAAGTTCCTATTTTAGTCTCATCTGTCCACAGGACATTCTCCCAGAAGGACTGTGGCTTCTTCAGGTAAGTTTTGGCAAACTCCACTCAGCTTTTTTTATGTTTCTGTGTCAGCAGTGGGGGCCCCCTGGGTCTCCTACCATAGCGTCCCTTGTCATTCCGATGGTGACAGATAGTGTAAGCTGACACTGTTGCACCCTGTGCCTGCAGGTCAGTTTGAATTAGGTGATCGAGGGTCTTTATCCACCATTTAAACAATCCTTCATTGCAATCTGTCATCTATTTTTCTCACTCTTCTGCGTCCAGGGAGATTTGCTACAGCGCCATGTGCTGTAAACTTCTTGACAATGTTGTGCACAGTGGACACAGGAACAGCCAGATCTCTGGAGATGGACTTGGAGCCTTTAGATTGTCCAGGCGTTTCCACTTTCGTCGTTCTCACAATTGCACATTGACTGTTGACTGCTGCACATGCTGCTCCCATGCAGCGTACATTCTTACTATATATTCTTATATATTTTTATTATATTGCTGCATTTGCTGCTTAAAGTGCCTTAGATTTTGTGTTATTTATCTACTTTATATTTCATTTGTATTGTGTGGCATTCATGTGGACGGCAAAGAATTTCATTGTACAGGGAAACACGTTTCCTAACTGTGCATATGACAAATAAACACTTTGACCTTTGACCTCAGACAATTCTCTGCTCTTCTTTCTTTTCGCCATGCTCAGTGTGTCCACACCACACAAATGTTGAGTCAACCTCTCTATGTTGCAAGAGGCCGTTGATTGCTACAGACGAGTTTCATTACAAATTAAAGGAACAACACGCGCTTGACATACAACTATTTCTGATTATTTTGAAAAGGTGCAAACAATTCTATCTAGTAGACCTAGACAGAATCCTACAGTGTGACACAGCCTACACTATACACAGCCTAAGCATCTTCAAGACGATTCTTAGTTTTAGCAGCAAGTGCTTAATGTATGTTAAACAGACCTCCTGATCAGATGCAAAGGAGGCTTTAATAAACCCGATGAAACAGACAACCCGGTGTTACAGTTAGTCATGTTTATTTACAGCAGAATCCTGAACAAGGAGGGAAAGAAGGGGAAAGGGCAGAGGGACGGGTTAAACAGGGACCAAATGTTTTAGATCAAATGCTTCAGGATTCATGTTTCACTACACAGTTCTTTTTTTAATTTTATTCACCAGTTTTCTATACAGAATCCATTCAGTCATATTAACAATGAAACAGAGCTTGAGTCCTCAGCTGGAGGGGAGAAGATGTGGAAGGAAACATAAAAACTAAAGCACTGAAGAAATAAAACTTTACAAACAAGGGAGTAAAAAGAAATAAATTTTCTATTTAAAAAAAAAAAAACAGCCATCATCACCATGATCATCTTCATCATTATTTATATATGTATATATACACACACGTATATATGTATATAAATCTATATATTTTCTTTCCATGTCCATGAAGAGGTGATTGGGGTTCCATACTGTCCGAGTTTAGACAACTGCAACGAGTGGGAGGCCGAAGGTCCCAACATGACGCAACTCAGGTCATAATATTCAGTCCCTGTGAACCAGTCAGAGGTCAGAGCTGACCAATCACAGTCTCTGACCTGAAGACTTTGTACCACCCACTGACACAAGCTCACAGGTCCAGTGCCTCAGTGTCGGCCAGCAGAGATTCCAAACTGCGGTAGCCCAGTAGTCTGAGAAATGATACACTGTACACTTAACATGCACGGCCAGATAGCATAAAAAAAGTAAGAAAAAAAGCCTGCAAATTGTGTCAGTACACCGTTCAGACTTCCTGCTGTGCACTCAATTGCACTTTTTCCAGTATACATTAAATATTAACTGACGAGCACCACAAAACAGGAAGGACCGAAAAAAAAAAACAAACAAAAAGACTAAGACTACCAAGTATCAAATGGTGATAGTAAAAACATCCTACATCCTATGAGTTATCTTTAATTTCTAATTTCCATTTTTGATTTTAAGGGCATAACTGATTTTCTCCCCTCCAAAGGTCCAAACAGACATAATGATGCACTTGCGCGCACATACACACACACACACACACACACACACAACTGTCCACTCAAAGAAGCTTCATCTGTAACGACATATGAATCTAATCACAGTATCCCATTGACCCTCATGTCCAGGCTTTAAGTCCAAACCTTCACAATAGTCAGGTCTTCATTGACTGTGGTCAAACACTGACAATTAAAAAAGTTCAGATGCCGATAAGTTTCCAATGACCTTTTGTCTGTCGTCAATACAGAAAATCTGATCTCATGCCAAGACATTTATAGATGTGAGACCTGAAATAAGATGATTTTAGTGTTTTCATAGCCATAATACATTTAAATTTATAATGTGAAATTCAGAAATGAAAAGAAAAGAGTACAAAATCCAGCATGATTCAGTTTCGCAATGAACAGTAATATAGCACTCCTTAAAATGAATTTAATTCACTTATGTGAAAAAAAAGTTTATGTTTGCACCTGTCCATATAAAGATTGATTTAAAAAAACTGATGCTGTTGAGAATAACCTTTACATAATTCTTACAAGATTAAACACAGACTGTTTCCATTAGACATGTCATGGTTATAACACTGTCCCAACACACCTACATCAATGGAAACCTGACTATAGGTGATTTCAGTTTAAAACCCAGTAAAACAACTGTTCACTCACCTGTTTCCCCACATGCACGCACACACACACACACACACACACACACACACTTTAACACCAGAGCAGGAAACTAACTTTGTTATTACTCAGCCACTGCTGAAGATGGTCTTTTTTCCATCCATCTACGTTTCAATCACACAAGTCAACAAACTTGAGAAAACAACCTCCGTACGATGGATGCTATCCGGTCAACTTGACACAACAGGCAGCGTGACTTGATCGCAAGTTGGCTGTTGGCTGGCATCAGTTTCCCACCCTTTATAAACATGCTCCCAAACACAAATACAAACTCAAGATACCGCAAATACATGTGTACACATATATACAAATAGAAGCGGCCCCTCAAACACTGGGGGCAGCTTTACGATTTATAATGCATCATTTCTGTATATGCCAAGAATAAAACTTTTCTAAATAAAATACATAGTTATCTGTGAGGGCGGGGTATGAGGACAGCAGATGGACAGAGAGGAGGGTGGGGCGTGCAGAGAGAGTCAGAGAAAGGTGGGAGCACATCCTGAGGGGTGATGGGACAGATGAAGGGAAGAAAGAGGGAGACAGATAGAGGGGGAAGACTTCTTTACTGTGTCGCTGCTCCTGAACACTGTCCTGTGCTGCTGCAAGACTCCACCTCTTCTCCGTTTGCTTAAATCGGTCCATAATAATATTAATATTAATAATAATGACCACAACAATGCTAAAAAATATATATATAAACCCCAGCCATGTCTCACAGCCGCAAGTCCACAAAAAGGGTGGAGGCCTTGCCCTCGAGTTCATCTGATTGGGTGACAAACAGAGATGCAGAGGAAATTAAAGATGCAGAGAAAGAAGGAAAACGCAGAGAAGAGGCCTGACGAATGGAGTGGGCTGTGGGAGGGAGAAGCAAATGACACCAACTATAGAGAGGGGGAGGCGAGTGTGGGGGGTAGAACAAAAACGGCACAGGCAGGATGTGCTATAATGAAGAGGAAATAAACAGAAAAGAGGAAGCGGAGATGAAACAAAGGATGTGGGGACATAAGATGAGTCATGTCGGGGCATTGTGATCCACACATTGGTGTCCTTCTGAGGGTTTTCACAGAAGATTGGCAGAAAGCATGAACAAGTGATGACAACATGGCCTCACTGTGAGTGCGTCCTCTCTCCTTCCCTCGAATTAAGGGAAAGGATCCGCGGTCCTCCCCATGCTGGTCATTTACCCCAAGGTGCATCATACCTCCAGGAAGCGGGAGCTGCTGGTCTTGGTATGGAAAGGCTCCGACCACATGCGCCGCAAATCCCCCTGTGGAGCACAGACACAGTTTAAGGCTCTTGATTCAAATATTTCCTGATACACCCGGCAGTCAGTCACAAAAACATTTTGTTACGCTTTGTTAAAGTAGACATAACAAAACTCATCCATTTATACTCTTGTGCATATGGGCTTTCATTATATTCCAAGTTGTGAGATGAGGAAAGTGATGAAATACAGACAAGGCGCCATACTGAGTTTTTGAATTTCACAGTAATAACCATTTTTATTACATGACACATTTTCACAAGAGTCTAAAAAAAACTGTGCATGCAACAGTATGTGTGAGTAAATTATATAATTCCAATCAACTATCAGATTAGCTACACAGCTGAATAAAGAAAAGTAGGAGAGCGGAACTAGAAAAAACCACAATCAGTCCAAGTGTAATATTTGCAGGTTGTTCCTTTTTGACACTTCCCCCATTTTTTCCTTTACATTTACTGCTGAATTTTAAAAAACACTGCCACAGCTCAACTTTTATTTCTTGCAAACAAGTAACTGCTGCTATCCTGCCCTCCTCATTGTACCTTTAGGTAGGCCATCGTGAGCAGAGGCAGCAGGGTGAAGGGCACCAGGTAGAGCAGAGCGGGCTGAGCAGCACGATGAATCCTGGAGGCCACAGTGGCAGTCAGCAGTCCTGAAGAAACAGCACACGTCAACAACATGTTTATTTTAAAACTAAATCCTCAAAAGTGGAAGAATGGGAAACTTAAGTTCACTACGAATTTGATATAATGTGTCTTAGAACATGTCCAAACAAAGGCATCCAAACACCTGCAACTATCACCCCCAAACATACTTAACACTGAAACAAAACGGTCTTGACCATTTGCATCCATCCCTCCCATCGACTGCTTGCTTACCCACAAAGTATCCGATGAGAGTGCAGTGGAAATAGGAGACGCGCTGCATGCGTCCAGACATATTCCCCGGTCCTGGGACTTCCCCGTTTGCTTGTTTCTTATAGTTGTCATAGCGCAGCACGAAGCATAACAGCAGCCCCGGCATCACAATGTCTCCTATTCCCAGCATTGAGAAGTGACTTCCTGTGGAACTGCATGATTGAAAACAGTAAAATGGTTAAGATCTGTTGCTGAAGACCAAAGCGCTGGACCGACAGACAGATGAGCAGTGCTATTTCAAGAGCTCTGCCAACAGCACAGCTAAAGACTAATCCTTAGAAACTAGAACAGACAGTAATGAAGTGAGACTAAACGACTGAATAATGCCTATGTTTCAGAGCACAGACACACAGCAGAGGCAAACCACATGATTACACCAGTCTTACCTGGGAAAGACCAGTTTGCCAGGCAGTGAGAGGCGGGGAACGTCACGGGCCATCCCCGGCCCCAAGTGCAGCTTCCTGGACAGAACGTCTATGGGATTTTCAGCAGGCTGAGTGGCAACTTTGACCATCACATTACTATTGAAGATGTAGGCTGAGAAGAACACCTGAAGGGAAATACAAGGAGGTCATTTAGCCGATCACAGAGCTGAGAAGAGTAACACAAAATCCTCAGTTTTATGAAGGTGTAACCAAGTTCATTTCTTGTCAATACTTTCAGCACTAGAACAGAAATTTCGAAATGTTCTGCTACTGCAATTTGCTGTTAATGTGACTTGCGTGCACTTCCAACCAAAAAACAAACAGCAAACATTCATTCACCTAATGTCTGTCTATTATAACAGTGGGAACATAAATGGTCAGTATCAGTGGGGAAATAAAACACTGATAGCAGTGTTGTGGTGGCAGGTTGCTACGAGCCCAACACAGGAAGGATGAGAGCAATTACAGAAACTGTAGTCGCTGGCAGAACATCACCAGAAGTATTGATGTGTGAAAATGTGGTTTTTTCTGTTATATATGACATTTCTTTGTAAAGGGGAAAGCTGAGAGGAACAACTATTTGAACAATCATAACATCTGAATGACACAGAAGATGCTCTGAATGTGCTCTGGATCCTCCTGAGCTCTGCTGCACACAAATCAAGATCTAAGCTGATTTATGTTCAGTGATTTAATTAAATTCTGGATGTACACACTTCAGTTCAGCAAAACACTCCTGCTTCTGTCACTCACTAACTGACTGATGCCCACCTTCATATTAAAGTAATCATTTGTAGGACTCTCCTTCTCCTCCACTCTGCTGTTAAGTGGCTATTACTTTTATTGTTTGACGCTCAATACAGGCACTGATCCAAAGCAGTGGTAGAGATATGGCTAATAAACCACATCTAAATCGACTTGTGCCAGAGGAAGACAAGCTTCACTTCAGTGTTTTTAAATTCACAAATCAAACTGTGATGTTCATCTCAGTTTTGGCTCAAGAAGTCAGTTGCTGGCCTTCGTAGCATGCCCACCCTCCTCTTAGAATTCTGATTCATTTCCTTAAAATTTCTGTTCTTGAATGCTCATGTCTCAGCTTCTTCCAAACATGCTGCTCGGGTATGTTAAAAACAAATCTAAAGCCTTTCATAAGCTCACAAGACTTGTTTAATACGGGTGTGTCCTCAGACTGTATGCTTCTTTGCTGAGTGACTTGTATGTCATCTGTGAGAGTATTTCCTACCCAGAAAACATCATAAATGAGCAGTCCAGACAAGAGCAGGCAAGACACCTTCAGACTGGGAAGCCGCACAAAGGCTATCATGGCGACACACAAGCCCATGGCTAAAGCTAGGGAGAGAAAAGACACATGACAATTAGAAACAAAATTCTACATTTTAGCAGAAATAGCAACACGGCAAATAATAATAATAAAAAAAATAAAATCACTCTGCACACAAGCCTAATTAATTAGACAGATGATTCAGATGAAATTTCTCTGCTCATGTTGCACTTCACACTTGGCTGCAGACCACTCCAGTGCGTGCTGGAGGTCACAGTCCAATGAAGCCAACAAAACCGCATCATCGGCAAAAAGCAGAGATGCAATTCTGATGTCCCGAAACCAAACATGCTCCTCCCCCCCGGCTGCGCCTTGAGATCCTGTCCATGAAAATCACAAACCGGATCGGTGACAAGGGACAACCTGAGAACGTGTTTGACTTACTGTTGAGTACGCGGAAACAACTCTCATTCCGGTTATACAAGGACTAGATGGCTCGTACTAACGGCCCCGGTGCCCCATAGTCCCAAAGCACCCCTACAAGATCCCATTTATTTATCATTTAAATAATTTTATTATTGATTTTATTAATTTATTTATCCTACTAGCATCACAGTTAGCAGTTATGCTAACAGCGCTAACGCCCCCGCACACATTTTCTAATAGTTGGCTACTTGGATAATCATTCTGTGCTGGTACTTCGACACTGCTCATCATTGTTCCATTAATGTCATTAATATAAACCACCCACTGCCCCACAGAGAAACAAGCCTAATCTGCAGATCCCCATGGTACACCACCTGCTGTACAAATACTTTCTGTGAAACTTGAAACAGCTCTTTGATGTGTGATGAATTCTGATGAATGGAGCAAATGGCTGCATTCACACTGACACATGACAGACTGACGCACCGTCCATGAGAAGCCAGTGTCCAGTCAGCACCCAGATGAGCACCAGCATGACAGAGAGGGAGAAGGACAGGAGCTCGGCCAGTGTGAAACGCCCACAGCAGCCAAATGAAATCCTGCAATAAACACAAATAGGAGATGCATGGATCTATTCATAAGAAAAAGTGCTACCAGCAAAAACATACAGGCGCATACACTATTTTACCACTATATTTGCATATTGTGTCTCTCGGATGTATATTCAAATAAAAGCCAGATGACATTTGACACCTTTTTATTGCATCTCTGCAATATTTGCACTGATGTGTTAAGAACAATTAGGATGAGAACACTCTGGCCTGCTTGGGTAAGCAAATGGAGTGAGTGTATGCTTGTGAACACAAAACGTTTGTATTGTTTGTAATTCACAGAAAAAGATTCATCCATGCGTTTGGGTAGTTCGCGAGCAGCTATTAGCTAATGCTACCCAAACTGCTATTTTTGTAACTTGACAGCTAAAGTCCAGAAGTTATTCTTCTTTGTTAAACAAACCATCAATCCCATAGGTACATTACCACCTCCCCCAAGACTGGAAAGTGGCAGACCCTGATTTTCATGTAGCCTAAGAAAACCAAGACATGCTCGCATGGCTAACTGGGAATCCACACTCAAAGTGAGACATTACCAGCAAGTTCTGTGTCTTTATCATCAGAACAAATGTCTGAATGTCAACAGGACAGCAGCCGGACAAAGAGTCTTCACCAGAATGACAGGAATCCAGAAATGTTCTGGACAAAAACTGTTTTTATATAGGCTCATTAGGAAGAAGTCAGTGGTGTATTCATTTATGGTTAATTGATTTTACTGATTTTCCCTAGCTCGCTACAGAGGGCGAGTTAAAGTGAGACAAAAAAAGCTCAAGAGCTGCATCAGGAGCCTAATCATTCATAACAGATGCAAGGAAAAAGTTTGCAACAATAAACAAGTGGAGAGTTATGTGATTTAAACATCTGTCTGTGGAGATTACGCTTAACTAAAGGTGGCAGAGGAAAAAGAAAACTTAAGCATAAAAAACAAAATGAAACACGGGGGTCCAGGGGAGATGTATGTAAAAACAAATTTTAAAACACACTCAGTGTGGATGAGGGGTGTCAAAAATGTCATCTGGATTTTATTTGAATATACACCCGAGAGACATAATATGCAAAATATAGCTTGTGCAGCTGTTGTTCAAGACCATGTCAAGATACACTAAGTAATAAACTGAACATTAGAGTTTGGGTTTGTAGTCGGGTTATTACTGGCTCTGTGAAGCAGACAATGGTTTAATGAAACTTGAGGAGCTCTGAATCTGCAACTAGAGAGGAGGTGTTCGTATTGGTTATTGAGTAGGTAGACTGTGTTGTTGGGCGAGTCCTTGTGCTTTACTGTAACTTGAAACACAAACAGAGGATATGTCCAGAGACCTGGGCCCAGGGGCCATTAAAAATTATTTGTATGCACCAAGTGAAAAGGCAGATGTTAAAGGGCTAGTTCACCCAAATCACTAAATAGATTTCCCACTTACTCACAGCAGCATTAAACATTGCTGACAGTTTTATTTTCCAAAGTGATTATATCACCTTTTTACTGAGATTTGTCTATTGTTGCACAATTGAGAAGAATACAGTGAATCAAAGAGCTTTCTGAATATATGTAAAAGACCTATAAAACAACACAGAGCAGCTTGTTAAAACAACAACAAACATCCTCAAAGACACAAAGAATCCATGTGATTTCCTTACTTGTTCTGTGGGGAGCAGGGTCTGGTCAGATACTGGCACATTGGCAGCAAGAGGAATGCAAAAGCAATTGTTGCAAGAACTGAGGAGAAAAACAGAGCACGGCAGTGAGCCCAAAGGCCTAACGCACCCAGGCTGCTCAGTGCCAGTCACTTTCTGTCAACTTTATGGGACAGTTAATGGTCTTTAAAGTTTCAAAAATCACTGTAGAAAAGAGACCTGCACCAATGTGTACCTAATGAACAGCCTCATAACACAAGAACTGTTCTGTTTTATGTTCAAGAGTGGTGGTTACCTGCAGTGCAGATGGTGAAGACCACCTGTACCGAGTCAAAGAAGAAGAACATGACTAGCAGAGACACTGAGGCTCCTATGGGTAGGAACAGAGCCTGTGTGGAGTCTATAGTCTGAATACCTGCAAAACAACACAAAGTGATGTTGCAGATGTGAAACTAACCAATCATCAGTCATCCCTCGTAAATCCAAGAAAACTGTATATTTCAGGGTTTTCCATGTATGCGACACTCACTGTTGTTTGTGTTGCTGTTATTGAAAGACCCCGTTGTCGAGGGGCTACCATCTTTATCCTTCTCCTGGTTCTCACAGTCCATGTTTAAAGACCTGTAGAAGGGAGGGAAAGAAAGGCAGGAGAGAACAGAGGGCAGGAGAGTGTGTTGGGCATCAGCATCAGTCACAGTCTCAAAAGCATGTAGGCGGCAGGCGGTATCGCAACCTTAAAAACCACAGCCTGCTTTTACAGTGAATGAAGGTCTACAGTATAACTCCTGAAAAGCAATGCCGTACATATAAATAGCCTGTCAATGGAAGATGACTCAATTTTTCCATTGGGGAAGTTTGATTTAAAAAATAAATAAACAAACATCTTTCGTTCCTTTACACTGATGATTCAGTGTAGAAATTAAGTGAAAAAGAAAAATATAGACATGAAATAGCCAAATAACGGATGACTACACTGTGCCTCAAGTGGGAGGTCTGTGAACTTAAAGTCAACTGTGGCACTACACTGAAACCAAAAAAAAAGTCTCGCTCACATGAGCGCACGTTTCCATTTCACAGTACTGAACACCATTCAAATAATATTCTAATATCAAATATGCTTTTAAAACATTATTTCCAGAAGTAAGGTGAACAATCATTTCCTCACAGAGATCACTTTGACATGTCACAGCAGGAAAAGCACGATATATGTACATAAAACCAATGAAGTATGAGACTCTGGTTCAGGGTCCTGTTATTGTGCATGCTGGTTCATTATCACATGGTCATGACATAATGGGACATTTGAATAGAACAGTCATCATTATTTATGTTACTAGTAAAACCTGTACTATGATGAGTCACAATATCTGCTGTGAAAAAGGCTTTCGACTGGAAACTCATTTAGAGTGCAAAGAGCAGAAGCCTTGATCACTATGCTCAAATTACCATGCAAATGAAGAGCAAATTTAAACCAAATTTCCAGAAAATAAGCAGAAGGAAATACAAATTAGTTCACATTTGACTACTGATGGCACGAATTTAACAGTCGAGTGTCATTATACCACTAGAGAAGAGGGTACAACGAGATGTGATTAAAAACAGCCATTAAAACCTAAAATGAAGTCAAACCATGTAGAAAATTTGAACACTTGATGATATACAAAATGTACTGACCTGAGTGGTCAACATGTACAATGGCTTCAGAAAGTATTTAGTCACCTTCACTTTTGGAACAAATAACTGGGTTGTAAGTTTAATTTTTCACTTGTGGCTGTTCCCGTTAGGGGTCGCCACAGCGAATCATCACACTGACGAACTGCATGTGTTTTACGCTGGATGTCCTTCCTGACGCAACCCTGAACCGAACCCGGGCCGCAGCGGCGAGAACGCTGAATCCTAGCCACTAGTCCATCAGGGATGGGTTGTAAGCTTAATTGAAAATGGAAATTTATCATATTTATTCAAAAAAATAAAAATATCTCTATTTACAACCATATTCAGACTGTTTGCTGTGGCACTTGAAATTGTGGTCAAGTGCATCTTCGCTTTAAATTTTCATTGTCATCTTTAGTCGTTCTTGTTAAGAAAACATCAGAACATTATTTGTATGCTTGCATACTTAGATATAAAAACAGAGTGCTTGTGAACTGAGGGATGCGTACATGCAGCCAAACACACAAAAGTCCTTGAAGAAAACCTGCTCCAGAGTGCATGTGACCTGAGACTGGGGCAACGTCGTCAGCACAATGACCTGAAGCCTAGAGGCAAGACAACGCTGGTGTGCCTTTAGAACAAGTTTCTGACTATCCTTGAGTGGCCCGGCCAAAGCACAGACTTAAACCCCACAGAACATCTGTGGAGAGACCTGGCGGAGTTTGAGAGGATCTGGGAGGAAGAATGGGATAAACAGGCCAAATCCAGGTGTGAAAAGCTTGTAGAGCCTTTGCCAAGAAGACTGGAAATTCTAACTGCTGTCAAAAGGGATTCTACAAAGTATTGAATGAACTGGACTAAACTTCTAGGTCGAAGACGTTTCACCTCTCATCCAAGAGGCTTCATCATCTGACTGACTGGTGTTGAGCCAGAGATATTTAGGGTGTTAATGCTTTTCTAAATGGGACATTTCAGGTTCTGGTTTTTGATAAAACTAAAATTTTCTAAAAACACGTTTCACATGGCCATTATGGATTACTGATTGCAGATTCATAGGCAAAAATGTCAATTTTCACATCCATTTAAAATGAAATCTACAACACAAATTGTGCAAAAGGGGGTCTGACTACTTTCTGAAGCCACTGTGCCTGATGTTTTTGTCTCGTCAGGGGAGTTGAAGCTTAAAGTAATGTTGAATTCCCTTTCAATAAATTCTATTTTATGGCCAAAGATAAAAACTCTGTTATATTGAGTTTTTGGTCTTTTAGCTTCCTTTGTTTCCACTTAGGATTTTTTTAATACACAAATTGAAAATGCCCTTAAAAACAGGTGGATGGAAACACACAGAGTGTAAATGATTTTGTCTCCTGGCAGCAACATCACCAGTCTAGAATGAGCTCAGTGCAACTTGATCTGATCATTTGTGACTTCCACACTAATAACTACAACCAGCCTCAGGCATTTTTTTGTCTGTTTTCTCTTGCCATGGTAGTTAGCCTGTATCATGGTGTGAGCATGAAGCAAGCATGTTGGCACCACCCTCTCTACGCTTTTCTATTTAGATCGTAGATTACACTACAAATATGGTTTATATGAGAAACAGACGCCTGACTGATTATGTATGTCCAGTAAAAGATGGTGAGCAATTCTGTCTGAGAATCAAAATCTATGAAGCTCTTTACCTGATAATAGGGGTCCCTGAAAACAAATGTGCTTTGCTTATTATCCTAATGCAACCAAATGAAACAAAACACCATTGGTGCAGGACTGCAGATTTTTGTGTTACTCAAAATTACCAAAATCATGTTACATCTTTCCTTCACAGAGTACACCTGGACTGAGAGAGCCTTAAGGTGGTTTCATGGTTTCTGCTTAACCTCAGAAGGAAAAGAAAACTGCATGTGCAACAGCTTAACAAGAACAAAGCCATACTCTTGGAAATAAACGGTATATATATATGGGGTGCATGAAACAAGCATTTGGTTTAGTTGTCTGGTGCATGCACGTTCTGCATGCTCACCCTGAGGACAGTCTATGTGGACTCAAGTTGTTGGGACGCACATGGGACGACTACTCAGTCTGCGTGCACCCTCATGACCAAACGTATATCACACAGGTGCGAAAAGCATGAATTGTTATATGGCAGGTTAAAAGCAACAGGCCTGACTTGAAGTATGAACTATTTAGGAAAATATACTTAGGCTTTTAGCTTTTACTTATGTGGGAAACGAGATGGTGCTTGGAAAATCATTGGCCGCTATCCTCTTGAAAGCTGATTATTTATTTATGGACACTCACCTGAAGCTGCCATAGACGATGAGAAGGATGGAGATGAGGAAGGTGGACACCTGGCTGGAGTCAACTAGGGAATATGCCCTAAAGAGTGCAGAGAGAAAGAGAGAGATGTAAACATGACACCCTGGAACAAACGTCTGTGTAATTAAAGTATTAAAAATGATATCCATCACCACTTGTTTAATGCTGAAGACAAAAGTACAGTGTTTTCACTACAAAAGTAACAAATATTACACAATAACAACCAGCTTCGTACTGATGAACAGCTGGAAGGCAGATCAGTATTACACATTTGATATTCTCAAAACACTCCAAGCCTTCAAGCTTCCAGTCCTCATTAATCTGCTTCTTCCTCCTTTTGTTGGTCCGAACTGGAATCTTATTACAAGTTGTATTAAAGCTGGTTGGTTGATTTTTGCCACTTTTCCACCCGATGGCTGATTCATTACAAGCTGAGGTGAGTAAAAACACAGATGTTGCTTGAGTTTAAACCCATTCTGATGTGACAAGACCTTTTGCCAGATGAGTCATATGTTCATCTTTGTTTAGTAAGCCTCTCTGACCTTTTACTGTTTTATAAAGTACAGTAGTGTGGGATTTTAGGACACACTATTTCAGTTAATTATTACAGAACGCTGCTGCATGATACCTGACTAAACATTTGTGACTTCTAACAATGCACTCAAATCACTCAAGTGTCCACTGTGTGAAAACAGTGGTTTTTCCTACTATAATCAGTGAAGAGTGCACCCCCAAATAAACATGCAAACTATCAGTGGTTGCAGAGTTCGCTCCATTATTTTTTCTATCACCATGCTCTGCAAAATAACAAAAATTAAGACAAATATACAGCTGTATTTTCCCTCAATCATGTCAGATTGTGACAATTTTATCACCAACAATTTGAATTTCTATATGCACACCAGTCACAGTTCTCCCTCTGAAATAGACATGCAAAAATACTTTGACAACCAAAACTGATATGTGGATTGAAAGCAGTTGTATAATACAGCATATTCAAGGCAACATATTTAATGAAACAATCCTAAAACAACACACAAATGTAAACTAACATAATAAGAGCAGATAACTGCAAGGCCTCAGCAGGTTGAGACGCATCAGTTAACAGCCTACTGCTGATACAAAACACAAACCCTGATGTTTGTGCAAGACATTCCTGCACAAAGACCTCTCCTATTATCAAAGATAGTAAACATAACATTAAAAAGTACAGCATTCCAGTTTGGGGTTACTGCAAGTAATCAGCAGACCTTACTGAAATTCTGCATATGCATAAACAGCAAAACGAAACTAAACTCCTCTTGACCTACACCCTACTCACATTACATTTTACTGAGTTTTGTGTAGCAGACTAGACAAAATAAAGAGGAGCTGATGAAGGACAGCAAAATGCATGACCTCTGCTCGGAGTTGATTGTTCAAAAGAATATCCATGCCCTTTAATTTCATCTCAGTTAGGGCAATGGAAGCTTCCTTCTCTTGATGACAGATGAGTAGGGCTCCTTAGAGTCTGTTAACCAGTTAAACATAAATGTGGGGTTTTGACACAGAGTTGACATGCAAACTAATAACACAGGTTCTGGAGGTTGCATTTAGTTGAGAGATGTAGATTTAACCTCTAATCTTAACCTGGTCCCAATAATCTCACCTGCATACTGCTATCAAAGCTGTTCCTTAAGCTACTGTGCAGCAACATACAGAGAATATACATGGTTACCTGTGGAATGTACTGTACCCCGCAGGTCCCATTTTTGTTTGTGTTGGCCACCAAAACATGTGCATCCAAATTTACTGAAATCAGTTTTTTATAAATTACAATGAGAACAACAGACGAAATTGTCTGCTTCATCACTAGTACAAATATAGAGTTATAAATAAAGAAAACACTTAACAAAGCTCATAAGGTAATTCATTCAGCAGCATATGATCTGTTACAAGGTACTGTTTCTCTTGTGCAGAAATATCTGGCCCTGCAACTTATATCTGTCATTGTCTTCTGTAGGGGGTACTGTTTCACTTGACCATCGCTGGGCTCTATCACTAGGTGTTTCCCAAGCACTGACATAGAAAACAGCCCTTGCATAAAGAGACTCAGCGCTTCAAATCATCTTTCATTCTGTGTGCATGTGACACAGGAATTCACAGGTTTCACTATGATGCTGAGGGGTTAAAGCAAGAACCCCCTGTCTCTTCCATTCATTCAGTAGTACAGTACAGTTTGTCTACGAGGGGAGGGTTAACGTACGGTAGTCTGCTGTGGAAACAGGACACCAGGACCATGTTGTATCATTTAGCTCTGCCTATAGTTTTGCTGATCCAATACAGGGCTCTGTTTAATGACTGAAAATACATCATCATTTAGGAATGTGTCAAATTACTATGGGTCCCAGTATACTTGATCTAGCATGTAGACCTTATATTGACATCTAACAAAATAGAAAAGCAGGTTTTCTTCTTTGTGCGTTCCCAACTAAATTGGTTAAATGTCTTATCAGCAATTTGGCTTCAAACATATAGAAAGTGCTACAAAAACTGTTCTTGTTCCTCTACATTAATGATGTCACTGCCTCACTGTCAACACAGCAAGCCAATAAGACAGCTAGTTTCATCTACCACAGACCTAATTCATATTCTAGCATCAAACTGCTTCGTCTGAATTCTGTGCACAGAAGCCTGTAGAACATGGCTGAGATAGATGAATGGAACATTTAAAAACAAAATACAATCCGGGACTGTTGAGGGCTGGACGGCAGCCCAAAGTACCATAAGACGTCCTTGTTCACTGACAGACTAGGTTTTCAATAACACAATTACAATACCGTGCTCCATCATGCCAGTTGCATGCATGACTTGACCACTAAGGGCCAGGTCACCAGGCCATAATGAAGACTTTTGCAAATGCTACTCCTGTGAGGATCTGCACATGTGGATCAAGAAAGTCATGAGTAAGGGCTTATTGCTGGACTCTGTCTTCAATATCCACACCATGAGTCAGACTGAAAAACTGTGAGCCCCTAGCCTATACTGTAAATATTAATTTTACTTATGTTATCATTTATTCCACCTTACAGTTGCTATTGGGTGGAGTTGCTGCTGTAATTCCAATGGGGAATTAACATTTATCTGCCTCCACTTTCTGATCCAATTATGGATGTAATGGGCTACATCCTTCAAGAAGAGGAAGGTAATTTGTGTTCAACTGTGAATTTTTTGCCTCCATCAAAATAAATACACCTCTCCTGCATTGCTGCTCCTACATGTGTGGCATTTTCATCTTTGTATAGGTGTTATCTGATAACTGGGTCGATGCAGAAAAGATTGTTGCAGAAAGCATGTGAGGTACTAGGTGGGGGTGATATTTCAATTACTTGGTACACGCTTCAGCTCAGAGTCACAAGAATGGCCTGCAGCATAATGTTTTTAAAAGTTTGTAAGGAAAAGACAAATCAATACTATCTGCTGGTCACGCTTATCAAGACGGAGATCCAGAGCTCATCAACTGTTGATTTACTCAGAGCACGTGGACACCGTAAGTGAAAACCTCAGTCAAAATCTGAGATGGGTTAGACTACTGTCTCTCCAAATGAAAATCCTTTAGACTTTCATGTTCCGAAGGATAATCTTTAGTGGTGCCTCTGTTCAGGACATAGGCAACAGGTGTTTCAGTAAGCCATCAGATTCAAAAGGGACAATATGTGCTCTAAACTGAGAATACTGCAGTTCTGGTCATGTCTAAGCAATTGTTATTAACAACAGGCCTACAAGTGAGTGTGGGACAGTGTTTCCTGCTATTTTTGTTCTGTGATATTCCACAAATTCTCATTACCAGTGATGTTATTGTTCATTTACTCTACATTCCACATTTTAATTGTGCCAAAATCAAGACTTTTCAAAATTATGTACTAGAGACTTGCGTTAATGATTAGTTGATTAGTGTCTAGAAAGGCTGAGCTCAAATTGGATTGTACTGTGGGTCGTCTTAATGATAGGATTTTGAGATTAGACCTTAATAACCATGCTTCCTGAGGAAGGATGGGTTTTTTTTCTTAAATTCAATAATAAAAAGGGCCAAAGGGAAGGAAAATGTACTTTTAGATCACTGCTTAGTGATGTCAGTACAGCCCTGCAGCTGTTTGTCTCATTCAAATCCACGCCAATCCAAAAAGAAAACAAACGTTTATAATTATAGACTATAGGCAGCACCTAGATTTAATAACTGGAGCCAAATAAAATACTCAAAATATTAGAGTCTGGACCACTTTTATCTCTAAACTGTACAGTCTTTAATATAGTTCTGATTTTTTTGCTGGGACTAAAGGAAAAAAAGCTGTTGTTTTCAATGGCAAATGTACTGGCACGTTAGCTGACGTTTGGTAACTTCACCGGTACAGAAGATGAAGCAACACCTTCACTCACAATGGTAGGAACTACAACACACCTCTAAAACATCATGAGAGGAAGTGAAAAAGAGCTACAGTTATGAATTTAGTTCAATCCTCCATACCATCTGTAGATGGAGGATTGAACTGTGAAACGTTTGCGCTAAAATAAACAATTTATTAATTTGTCAAACAACTGAAAATTAATCAGTAGTAATTTTGATGGAACGAGGAACCACAGTAATTTATCAAGTAGAAATACCACAACATTGCTGGAAAAAGCTTGACATTATTTCTGATGTTTCACCACCATTTCACAAAAAGGAATTTTTTACTACTGACTAACCTACCACACTTACTGTAAGTACAATGTTCGACTTTCAGTTCAAATGATGTGGCTGCTGCAGTGCTCACATTGGAGAGCTAGACCATGATGGTTTAAAAGATCCTAATGTCAATAAAAGATGGCCAGACCCACATTAAACTAATAATGACAGTTTAGACATAGTACCTTTGTGTACCCATGTGTAACAGATGTGCTACCTGCTACTGGTGTTTATAAGCTTTAAAGTCACATCTCTTTATCTGAATTTATATCATATGTGTTATGTGATAGCAAAGGTTATTTCATTTTGTCACGGCCAGTAAACAGGAAAGTACCCATACCCAACAAGAAGAAATGGTTTAGACAAATTGGGTAAAATTACAGCATGTAACAAAGGCAGTTATTCAATCACGTTTTCTTCTGACATGATCATCATGTTTACCCCCCCTTTCCCTCTCTACAACTTGCAAGTCCTGTTTTTCTCAAATGCTGGATGTCTATTAAGGGCACTTGCCATTGCAACATGATCACACCTATACAAACAATCCTGAAGATAAAACATATTTGGATATCCAACAAGGTGTTTATCTGGCTAGATCAAAATTAAAGTGACTCAGAATTAGGTGCAGCAACTCAGTGAAACGCAAAGCGAGGTGGTGCTCAGCATCTAACATTTGCCTGGATGGCATGAAATACTGTATTACAACTTCACAGGTCTGCTCTCACCCAGTATGACTGTACTACATATTGCTGTGGGCCCTTCAGGAAGCAACACTTTCACAGTTTCACCTAAAATGTGATGACTGAAAAGTTCTGCCCTCTTACTTAACAGCATGCACTTTGGCAAGCCACGAAACTGAAAGTTAAGAATTGAAACTAGGAGAAAACAATTCCCTTGACAAACAGATATACCAGTATTATGGTTTCAGCTCACAAAGCCTACAAAGTTACTTGCTACTTTGAATGCTGCTGAAAGTGGCATCATAATACAACTTGCCAGCTTTAAAATAAAGTTTCATCTTCTTGTGAACTGTACATTAGCCAGTTGGTTACCACAAGGTTAAACAGGACATAGTTGATTTATTAGCAATCGGTCCAGGTAGCAAAACAGTAGCTACAAAACAAAATGTGCACAAAGAAACTTACAAATGCTGAATGTCTGTGCCCATACTTTCACTAGAGGTTTGTGTTCAATGAACTGCTTTCACATATTCTTACTAATACAATGAAGCATATTATTTATGATGGTGGTTACTTAATGTAGTGTTTTAGTATCAAAATGCATAATTGGTGTTTCATTAAACACTCATAAAGCTAAACTGCTCATTATTACATCAGTGGTATGTCAAAACTATGTGGGTGGTTGTATTTCTGCTTTCAAGGTGACAGGGCCATGGGCAGTGTTGAGACTACTCCAGATGTGATACAGTTTGGTGTTAGCCTAGCTGCGTCTCCCCTGATATACAGTGACAAAGAAAAGGTTAGAAAAGCAGACAGCATTTTCAAAATGACTATGTTGCACAACACATTAAAGTTGTTGTACGTGACTGATGTCGACATGAAGTGAAAACGCCTCCTATTGACTGGAGTGTGAACACCCAAACCAAACCCAACAAAACCCTTTGTTACCCAAGTGCTTATACAAAAATGTAGAAATTACATTTGGGTCTGGGTCAGGTTTGGAAACATAGGTCAAACTTTAGGCTAGATGGCTCAAATGTCTGCTTTGTTGAATGATAAGAAACTCAGCTGCGTTGAATCCGGGTTGGATTCAGACAGAAATATGTGGCCCAATCCATGCTCTACAGTGACACAGTTAAAACAACAGACCACCGTTGTAACCACAATAAATGCAGTCTTCCATGTGCTTTCCTAATTTTAAACACAGCCCACACAGTCATAAGAGCACACATTTACTCACAACTGCATGTCGCACCTGAAACAGATTCACATTAAAAGGGCATTCATTAAAAAGCAACCAGACATGTGGCTACTATTACTATTTTCTGGCATTTTATAGACCAAATTATTAGTCAGTCAGTCAACACAAACATAAATGTAGACCAATCAATAAGAAAAATAATCATTAGGTGGCCTTAATCGTAATATACTGTCTATGTGCTTCATACAAAGAACAACACAGGGCATGTTTAACCCAGCTCAAAAAAAAGACTTGATGCTACATATACAATATAAGCCAGTTTTGAAATTGCTGAATGGTGCATTTCTCTCTTTTTACACACTGACTGACTAAAGGTTTTGTTGTTGTTTTCCCTTGCGGAACCACAACGGAAAGCAGAATAGTTAACACATGCTTCACAATGAGCCCTGCTCTTCACAGCACCAGCCAATTAACCCAGTTGACCAGCTTTGTGATATTTATATTTATAAACTCGGGGTGCAATGATTCATGTAAAAAATCCAACCCATTCGGTTCACTAGTCACATTTCAAGCCATGTATTTTCAGCTCATTTGAAATATGCTGAGACATAGGCAGAAAAAAAAATCTAAATTACTGAGGAAAAAAATCCTCATGCCAATAACTCAGTTAAACTTAGTTAATGTCAATGAAAGGTCCAGTGCAGCTATCAGTCAGTCCTGAAAATGGTAAGTAGACAAGACAGAGTTAAGAGGTTGTTTTGGTCTGCTATGTATTTACTGGGAACTAACGCTGACAGCAAGATGCGAGCAGCGTGTTGCAATCAGGTCTGAAAGACAAAAATAGATAGATAGATAGATAGATAAATAGATAAATAAATAAATAGACCTGAAGATTTAAAAATGCAGTATGTCCAGGTGTGACGCACTCACTGCCACATTTGTTAGGATGGAATTCCATCTGATTAGTGATGCGTGCAAAGAAGGCATCTGAAGTGGCGGTTAAAACGACATGATCTTGCTGCCCTGGGTACATCTGTACCCAATTTGCTCTAGTCAATTTTGTTTTGCACCCGAGTGTGAGAACAAGCTCATAATCTTGAAACTTGAAACTGAATAAACCGAGCAGAGCTGTTTTGAAACAGTGTACAATGTGCATTTGGGTTCTGCTGCACTTTATGACAGTGGAAGATGTGGTTGTGTTCCATATGTTGTTAGCCAGAATTAATTTAATTTAAATTTTTGCCAAATAAATAAAGCGTATGCTCAAATTGGCAGTGCTCTTCCCCCACTTTTCCAAAAACACACCAAACCAAAGATCACGAGACCAAAATCATGATATGAACTGAACCATGAATATTGTGAACCATTCCATCCCATTATAAAAACCAACTGATGGCTGGTTTTAATAAGCTCTGGTTAGATATATAGAATGACTGGTATCAGACAGTTGATGTGAAAGATCTATCACAACAGATATTTCCTGATAAATTCACAAATATTCTGACATTAAACGAGAGTCAGACAAATGTGTAAGATCCCACCTGCATTTCTGTTAACTCCAACCATTCAAAGAGTTTAGTCTAGTTTTATTAAGTCTCTTATAATTAGCTAGGCCTCCACTGAGTCGGGTCATTTTCATTCATAGAGATAACGCACTTCACTGACCACATCATCTCAGTCTAGTTCCTTTCATTCTGTTCTTCGCCAAACACTAAAGTGAGCTAAAACGTTAACCTGGCTTTAAGAATTAATACAAATCTGCAAAGATGATTTGTAACAACCTGTCGTGTGTCACAACGCTAAGCTCACATTAATAGTGGCATTTTGGGACGTCTGCAATGCCAGTTAGCTAGCTTAACTGTACGGCAGAACCTTTGTTATTGTGTGCAGCAGGTCGACGTCGAAAGCTAGCCATCTAATCTGCTAACGCTAATTTGTTGGCTCAGCTAACGTCCACTAATCTGTTTGACACAGACGTGTTACGTTGCACTTATTGAGAAAAAAATCATAATCTTCAGAAAGCATCAGCTGATAATGTGAGCCAACAGTCGTGAATCCAAATGGCTAACCCATATGAGCTTATCAAGTCGTTAGCTAGGAAGCTAACTCTTTAGCATTCGCTCACAATAGCACTACTGGAAGCTAGCACAGCATCAGCTGGTGAAACTGATTAGCCGCTGCTAGCTAACCAGTCAGCTCGGTTAGCTGTTAGCAATAAATGAACTGCAGGGAAAAATATATGGGAAAAGTGACCCTTTTGCGCTCTAAATGGTGATAAAACGTCTCCGTGAAAAGCCAAGGATTTATATGAATTGTCAGAAATATTTCAGTGGTTTCCTGACAGGTATAAATTAGGCTTGGCAGCAGCACCTAGCATTAACATTAGATAGCGAGATGCCTGTGCGTACTCACCAAGATGAATAGCCCTGATCCGCCATATCGCCAAAAACAGTGGGTTCCGCGACTGTGGCTAACACAGATTCAAGTCCCGGTGACAACCCGTTGGGACCTCAGCGAGGTTTTCTGCTTTTCCTTCACAATCCGACGTCCTAGCAGTTACTTTTAGATGGCAACATGATGATACATCCCGGCAGCAGCTAGTAATCACTAGCTGAATGTCTTGCAATTGAAATGGGAATGATGGTTTGCTATATCGTTAGGTGGACAAGACAAAGCACCCCGAGGAAAAGAAAATGATGTTATTTTGTCGGTTTCGCTAATGCCTCGCAGTCACCCCAGCCGAGAAGGCTCGGTCTCCAACGATGCTACACCCAGTAAATCCATATTCAGCCCGATGTATCCAGAATAAATTCAGATATCCCTCAAGTCTGCACCCTTTGCTATTATGGAAGACGTGCAGCTTTGTTTTCTATGGCGAGTCACGGGAACGCGCAACTCGCCCTGCTGTAGAGAGGTTTACAAGTAGAACTGCACTGAAAAGCTTCTGTGCACTGAAAATGCTTGCGATGGTTCGACAGCATTTCAAGCAATCCTACACACCTACAACTAGAGCTGCGAGCATTACGTAGATTATCCAGTGTAGCCTACATTATGACTATGGACGTTTAATTCACGGCCCAGTTATTTGTTATAGTGTAATCGCTAAACATGATAACCGACAAAAATCTGAAAAATTGACAACCCCTAAATAGTGGACTCATTTGATTAATTAAGATGAGAAACGGGGGGTCAAATCACATTTTAAAGGTGAATACTGGGTTATAAAAAGAAAAACTGTTATAAATGTCAGGTACTTTATATAGACTAGTATTTTGCAAAGAAAAATACTCCAGTGATGGATATTCCCAGGGGCCTCTATCACAGACATGGCTTACAGAGTTGTGTGGACAATTTGCTGATTAAAATCTATAAAAAATTATTTTAAATCCGACCACACTCCAGGGTATGAAGGCCCCTGGATAAAAGACAGATAGAGTAATACACAACAATTCAATGTAAAACATTATGGTGTGTTACAATAAGCCACTTAATTAAAATCCATTGAAAATATGTTAGGTCTGTCTATTTTAATGTTAAGGATAATCACCTTTATTAGCCAAGTATGTTACAGACAAGGACACACAATGTTCTGTAATACTGCTGTAAGTATTCATAAATGTTGTGACACCCTTTTAGCCCAATCAATACAAAAATGCTGGGTAAAGCTGATGATCCTCTGTGTCTGACAAAAATGAACTCTAGTGCTACCAGGATTGTACAGATGATGTGTGGAAAGGTAAACAAACATTGCAGTGCCACCATTATTCAAACACTGTAGAGCCCTCATTAGTCTAATAATGACAATTTGCAGAATTGCTAGGAAGCACAGTAAGACGTTTTTCTGAGAAAAAAAGCAAGACTTTTTTCTATTGAACACTGGTCTCTAGCCTGGCTGTAGACTTTCTCTCTTTGTCTTTTTCTGTTCAAAGTGCATTGTCAATATACAGCACAACTGCAGGACCACAGGGTGCATTAAAATCTGGGCTTGTCTACTTTAGGGAAAACCCAAAGGATAACTGATGAGATTAAGAGAGTGCCTGTCTGCACAGCTTTCATTTTGACTGAAGGTGCCTACACAAAACACAAGGCTGATGGAAACTTTTATCATCTGGGTAGCATAAATGTGCTCAGTGAATTCAATGGCAATCTGCCCATTAGACCTTGATGTCTTTGTCTGGATATTTTATTCCAAATAGTAGCGAGAAAGGAAAGATCAGGTCATCAAAAACATATGGATTCTTCCTTCAGGGACCACAAAAATCTATCAGATCAGTCAGATCTAGCTATTAGCTTTTGTAGCATGTATTAAAAATTGACCCTTTGACCTGAGAGTGGGTTAACATAGATGTGGTCAATATATTTCATGGCAATCTGCCCATTACATTAGTCCGATAGTGACACTAGGGAACTATTTAGGTGGCCACCAAATATTTGCAAATGTATTGATCTGTCTTTAGCTTTGCTAATGCAAATTTGAGAACATTTAAAACAGCATTACATGAAACACATGGTACTATTACACATTTTAAAATCTAGCTGCACATTTACACAGCTGTGTAGGCTTTTGTACATCAAGTTAATTATTCACAGGTCTCAGTTTTCACTTTCAGATCTAGGTATGAAAGAGCATGTGCGATATAAAAATGACAATTGTTAAGTGTCTATTTTCTCAAGTCATATCTTCATTGTTCAGTGTGATTTTTTTTTTAAACAACAACAAATATCCTTCTGTTTGGGTTCATATGAACTCTGTCAATAATTGACAATTAAATGTGCCAAGGAACGGGAGGGCGTTCATATGAAAGCTAGGTAAATGATGTTTACCCATTATTTGGCCCCATGCTGTAATAAATCTTCAGAGCCCCACAATAAGCAAGACCATTTTCCAGACCTAACCTACCCTTAACACAAAGCATCCCTGAATCCTATCCCAACCCAAGGAAAGAGCAGATACATGTCTTGACACATAACATCAGCATTGTATTTGCTCAGGTTGAGCAGTGGCTGGCCCAGCTGGCTGGTAGTGACAATCACCTCTGAGAGCCGGGTCCGCTTGGTCATCCAGCCACTGACACTGTTCCACCAAGATGGCCTAACAAAAGAAGACCATTAACAATTCCAGTGAGTCTGTAACTATATTATCACCAACACAAATACAAATTCTGTGTGGGTCTAGGAATGAAGACAAGTCTACAGGGTCATCAGGTAACAATGATCATTTTCTTTTTCATTTTACATTAGTTGACCATTTATATAATATGGACTCATGTATTTTGGTCAATACACAGGGTGTAACAATGCAAGGCTTTTCATTTACCATCTTGAGTTTGTCTAAATCACAAAGAAAACATACAGGAAAGCCTTGTTATTCCTTTTTACATCTTCAGTGGTAAATATGTGTTTTGATCCATGGAAATTTTTCACAAACTGATTGAAGTCCAGAGGAATGAGTAAATGTGCTTGAACAGAAATCTTATCTATTAGGGATTAGTTGATGCCACACAATCATGTAGATAAAGATGGCAATAAGATTTAGAAAGGAGCCAATGGGAGTCCCTCTAGCCAAGAGGGTGCAGATTACCAAAGTCTGTAAAGAGATTTTGTTTTTGCAGATTATGTACATTCTGTTCTCAATAACAGAGGATCATACTCACAAGATACAGTGAGCACCATTAACCAGTTATTAACTCAAGGGCAGCAGAGGTTCATCCTTCAACCTGCATTCATGTGATACAAACTAATACTAGGTAAGGCTTATTAGAGACAGTTTAGCCTTTCACTCCTTATAAAAGAAAATGTTAGGCTGGTCTGCTCTGCTTGGAAGTTACTCTACACCCACATTAAATCTTTGTGGCAGCTGGTGAAATGGCCTTTTCTTTCAGGACATGCAACAAAACAAAATAACACTTAGTAAAATTAGCCACCTGAGACGGCCGTGTTCATCACCCTGAGCTGACCAATGCAGGAATTAATGACCAACTCATCTGCAACATTTAGAATGTTCAAGCTAAATGTTCTGTGTTTTGAAGGGAGGCTTTTAATAACAGGTGCTACATTAGTCACAATAATTTCAGATGTAATGTTTGATGACTATGAGTTGTTGAGGATATCTCTGATAAAAGTCTCTTTTTTTACATGTGCAACTTTGCAGAGAAAGGAAAATCACAGATGCCATGAATGAGTATTTATCACATCTGTTTCCACAAAACTTGGCTGGATCTGAAAGCTGTTCATAGAAGTAGGAGTACAAAGAACAGGCAGCCACAAACTGGTAATTCAACCATCAGTTAATAGTCTCAGCTAAATACTGAAAGTTTCAATCTGAAAATCAGATCTCTGTTCGGATTTCCATTGTAAGTGGTGGCCTTATACTTGTATAGCACCTTTCTATGCATTGCTGCACACTCAAAGCACTTTCACACTATTTGGCCAGTCACACTCCCAAACTCATGCACTAGTGACATCACCAGGAGCAACTGGAGATTCAGTATCTTGCTCAAGGACATTTTGACTGGACAAGCCAGGAATTGAACCGTTAATCTTCCGATTAGGAGATGACCCACTCTGCCTCCTTAGTCATAGCCACCCCGTTGCATTTTGTTACTGAAATACTGTAAGTGTACAAAGAATATTAAGGGCTAGTGTAAAGTCTTGGCTGCTGACCAGATCTGATGCTTTAAGTTCATGACATTAATTTTAAAAACTCGGTTTGTTGTTATCCTACTCACACT